ACAGCCTCCAACCCAGATTGATGTACCCTGCAAAACTATCTTTCAAAATTGATGGAGAAATAAGATACTTTCATGACAAAGATTACCCGAGGAACTTCATGAATACCAAACCAGCACTCCAAAGAATTTTAGAGAATATCCTAGGAAAAGACAGCGAGGATCACAACCCCAGGAAGCCCAGCAGAATGAACCTATCAGGCAAGACAAGAAATTAAACACAAAGGGGGAGAATGTAACAAAAAGAAAAAGTCATGACAAGGATAAGTCAATACATATCAATTACAACCATTATTGTTAATAGTCTCAATTTACCAATCAAAAGAAATAGACTGGCAGAATGGGTCAAGAAGCAAGATCCAACAATATGCTGTATCAAGAAACACACTTCATTCAAAAAGAAACTCATAGACTGAAAGTTAAAGGGTGGAAAACAATACTCCACGTAACAGGAACACCCAAAAAAGCAGAAGTAGCTATCCTCTTTGCAGATCAAGTGGATTTCAAACCAACACTGACTAACAGAGACAAAGAAGGACACTACATCCTTGTAAAGAGAACAAGCCAGGGGGAAGAGATAACAATCATAAATATATATGCACCAAACACTAGTGCGCCCAACTATATAAAACAAATACCAATAGACATGGAAAATGAAATAAGCACTAATACAATTGTGGTGGGGGACCTCAACACCCCACTGTCCCGAATAGATAGATCAACTATATAAAAAATAAGCATCGAAGTACTAGAACTCAATCAAACTTCTGAATAAATGAAGTTAACAGATGTTTACAGAGTATTCCTCCCCACAAAATCAGAATGCACATTCTTTTCGGCTGTACACGGGTCGTTCTCCAAAACAGACTGCATATTCGCTCACAGAACACATTTGAGTAAGTGCAAAGGAACTGAAGTTATCCCCTGTATATTATCAGACCACAGTGCGATGAAATTGGGAGATCAATAGCATAAGAAACTGCAAGAATTTCACAGACACATGGAAACTGAATAACACACTTCTGAACAACCAATGGGTCACAGAGGAAATTAAAGAAGAAATCAGACAGTTCCTTCAATTAAATGACAATGACAATACAACATATCGGAATCTATAGGAAACAATGAAAGTAGTCTTATAAGGGAAATTCATAGCAGTGAATACTCATATTAGGAAAACAGAGCAAGCACAATTAAACAACTTGATGCTGAACCTCAAGCTACTAAAAAAGAAGGGCAGGACAAACCCAAAGTTCATACAAGGGAGGAAATTATAAAGATCAGAGCAGAAATCAATGCAATGGAGACTAAGAGAATGATACAAAAAAAAAAAATCAATGAAG